ACGTTAGAACAGTATTCAAGATGTTTCACCAATTACCAACAGGACGACTGTGCTGATTTGTTGCCACTGGCTGAGTTTTGTTACAATAACACCTGCCATTCATCGACCGGGCTGTCACCGTTCAAAGCAGTTTATGGTTATGACAGCCCCCCACTTCCATTCCTCGAAGGAGATCGACCTTGGGAAGGTGGGGATGTGGAATTATGGTGTAAGACATTGCGTGACTCTTGGCCACTTTTGCAGAAAACTGTGGATGCTGCTAAGGCAGCCTATAAGTCCCAGGCTGACAAGAGAAGGGTGGAGGGTTGGGCTCTACAGCCTGGGGACATGGTGTACATTTCGACCAAAAACATTCAGTTGCTACGACCATGCAGGAAACTAGGGTGGAAATTCATTGGACCATACCCAGTACGGAAAGTGATTAATGAAATTGCATTCTGTTTTCCATTTCAGTCTCCTCAAGAAACACATGGCGTCGGACGATTGGCGGCCGGCGCATCCAGCGCCCCCTCCCGTTTTGATTGAGGGAGAAGATCATTATGAAGTCTCTAAAATTTTGGACTCTAAGCGGAAACGTGGAAAACTGTTTTATCAGATTGAATGGAAAGACTTTGGTCCCCAGCACCTTGAATGGGTGGAAGAAGGGGATATTCGGGTCCCTAGACTGCTTAAACGCTTCCATAAAGCTTTTCCTGATAAGCCAGGTGGTCTCCCGGAATGACCTGGAGGTCTCCCGGAATGGGTGGAAGGAAGAGGTTTTTCGGGGGGGGCAGTATGTCAGGTATACTGCCATTAAGAGGGAAGAGGGGAGGCTTTCCCCTCATGTGCACCTGTGTTTCGTTTCTGTAATTGCCTTGCATTCCTTTCTATGCGCTCATTTGCTTCCCAGCGGAATGCTTATCTTTCATGATTATACCGGAGGAGTTGTTGTGTCTACGAGGCCTGGGAAGGAGGCCGTTTTCTACCTGCTAGCCGTTAGCTTTCCCATTACATTAGCGCATGTGCGAATAATGCTCATTGGAGGAATGGGGAGGGGGTGCATACAAACGCCCTATAATTAGTTATGCGCTTGCTTGCTTGACCATTCTCAACAGTGTTCCTGTTAACGTGCCTATAGCTATGCAATAAAGCAAAACCTTCTTCTTAAAGAGTGTGCTACGTTGTATTCACTGTGGGTTCTGACAACTGTGACTAGATGCCCCATTGTCTATTAGCCACTTATTCTCTTCTGACTGATTCAGCATCAGCATCACTAAGGCTTTGCTGGTCAATTAGTAAAAACCTTTTCCCTTTGTATGCTGCATAAGACCATCATGCTTTTGATTTTAAAGCTGCCTCTCTGTTTATGGCTTGTGTGCTGTTCCCGTGTGTCTTAGAAAACTACTGCTAGCTGGTGGCTCTCTATCGTCCTTTGCAAAGTGGCCCTTCTGTTGCCATTAAAGCAGTGCAGCGATCTGTTTTTATCCCTCTCTGTGGGTGGAACTTGAGCCATTTGGTGATTCAAAGTCAATAAGCTGTTTTGAGCACTTGACCTGCAATGTTTTAAGTGCCTGATTGAAAGCCTTTGCATCTTTCGTTTGACCTTAAATCTGCACACTCAAATGCAGAAAGATCCCCCCCCCAAAGTCCCAAATATAAAATTTGGGGTTTTTTGTTGATCAGTTAGATTAAAGCCACAGATTGCTAGATTTTCAAACACCTGCCTCAGTCTAGATATATATTTTTCACCATTTTCCGTTATGTAACCTTGTTTTGCAAAGTTTTCTTATCCATATTCCTCCTGTGATTTAATACTACTAAAGCCAAAAGACTCTTCTAGACTCTTAAGCATTTCTTTTGCTGTCTGGGAATTTTAAAACATGAAAGTCTCACTGTCATCCAGTGATCCCATAACAGTGTTCTTGGCAATCCCATTTTTGATTATCCAAGAGCCCAGTTTCTTGCCTTTTTCTGGCCCCGGTCATGGGGGCCGGAAAATGCGCGCGGGGGGGGGGGGGAAGAATGGCTGTTTGCCCCGGAGCAAAATAACGCACAGCCACCCGATCACAAGTTCCGTTGAGGTCCTGTGGTTAGGGCGTGAGGTGCCAATCACACGGCTATCCTGCAGCGTGGCAAAGAAGCGGCGCGGCACGATCACACCAGCAATCGCCAGGCGCCACTTCCGTGGCAAACGGGAATATTTTCTTTCTCACCAAAAGGTGAGCATGTGCATGATTGAGCGCAGCCTTTGAAGACCCTAAAAAAAAAAACTAACCGGTTTGCGACAAGACTAGGATGGGACACGATCAGACGCCTGCCCTTGCCCCGTGTTTTCCGAGAACTAGTACATTGTAAGTACTAGTTTTTTACTCCGTATCTTCGGCACGAAGCCACAGGTTAGACACAGGTGCACTACACTTCCCAGATGTTGCGGTGTGATTGCGCCTGGAAAATCCAACTATCATCCGTATCTTTAGTGCGGCAAATGCTCCGTGTGAACGGGGCCTCTGTTGGTTTTTCTTCCTCTAGGATTCCAGCAGCTCCTTTTGCTTCAAGTAGTATAGGAAATCTTTTAAGACAGTTTCTATAGTTCTTAGCAGTAAACGTTGGGATTTCCAAATACCTGCTTAATTTACCCATTCTTATCATGGCGACATGGAGGAGAATTTTAAAGGAAAAAAAAATAAGATGATCTACTAATCAAAGACTTTGTCTTTTTTAAACATTAAGTTGGCACTTAATTTAAGCTTAGACATTAAGCTTAATTTAATTAATTTAAGCTTAGACTTTGGGCCCATAACCTATTGGTTTAAATGTAAAAAATATATAATTTGCTTTGGAAGCACAGAAACTTTTTCACAGTATCCCTGATCCTCCACATTTCCCGATTAAGGGGAAAATGCTGTTCAAACCAATCACAAAGATGATCTGACTCCATGTAGGTACACTTATCGTTATTATCCAACAGGTTCCAACCCATAAATCAGAAAGGGGAAGTACCTCAGTGATAGGGCATCTGACTGACATGCAGAAGGTCCCAGGTTCAAACCCCAGCAATACACGCATTCTTACTTACAATAAGTTTATAGGAGGTTATAACTGTTGGGCCTCCACCAGTTTTTTTCCTTACCTTTTTGGTTCTTGATTCAGTCTTATTGGGTTCTGCTCAGTGGCAGAGCATCTGCTTTGGTTCTGCTCAGTGGCAGAGCATCTTGACTGGCATGCAAAGGTCCCGTGTTCAATCCCCAGCAATTTAAAGGATCAGTTGATTTGAAAGACATCGACTTGAGGCCCTCGAGACCCCCCCCCCGCCAGTCTGAGTAGCAATTCTGACTTTAAATAGACCGAAGGCAGCTTCCTGTGTTCAAATTTGAGTTGTGAATTGTAGGGCTGTGTCAACTCCTGAAGTGGGTTTTTAGGACTATTGGGCCTTCTACAAATGCATAGCAGAGTTTCCTGTGCAGAGCAGCTATCAAAGTGGCCTGGCTTCCTGTACAGAATGTATGAATTCACCCATGATTAGACAATGAATGCCAACTGACAGCCTTTCCAAGTCATGCCGAGTGGAGTGAGGAAATAAAAATACTGTTTCTTTATCAGAAATGACTTTAATCTTGCGGAGGAAAAAATATTCTCTGGCAAACATAACAAGTCACAGTGAAAGATCTCCCAATGAGTTTTTCATGGAAGAAAAAGGCCTGAATTTCAGCCAGGAGGATTAAAATCTCTGCATTTCTCGGCCAGCACAGGGCTCTGATCCAGTGGACCAAGCTGCCCAGCATATATCTCTAACTGGAGGAGGGGGAGGAGGAGCCAAGTGAGCCAAGGGGATGGGCCCTTGATGCCTCCCACAAACCCACTGCATGGCTGAGCTGCGTAATTTGCTTGGTGGGCATGGCTCTATGGAGCCCACAGTTGCAAATGCATCTCTTTGGACCTATGCATCAGTTGGTTCAGCTTCTTTGGTCTACTATAATAGCTGGCAGTTCCATGGGAGTTGTTTGCCTCACTGACATTAAATATGGGCTGAATTGTTACAACAGAAAACGGCATTATCTGTAGGGCAGGGCAGGGTGAACTTCTTATCTGTTAGTCCGGAACAAAAGCAAATTTCTAGCTTTCTGTGTGGCAGTGATACTATTCAAAACATGTAGGGATGTAGGGTTGCCAGGTCCCCCGAGGGGGCAGAGGAACCCCCGCTCGATAGGTCCCTAACCCGCTGGCCTGGATTGGGCCACCGGGGAAAACCCCACCCCCAAAGTGCTGGGTACGCAGATATGCCCAGTGCGACGGCGTCACTCGGAAGTGATGTCATCATGTTGGGCACGTTGCGGGGGGGGGACGCTCTAGCATTCGAGGGGAAACTCTATGGTTTTTCCTCGAATGGTAGTGGTCCGCTCGAGAAGTTCCGGAGACGGCCCTGGACTCCCCCGCTTTTAACATGGTAAGATTTGGCAACCCTATAGGGATGGGAGAAGATGGCACTCTTGTGCCTGACTGCTAGTCAAGGACTGCGTCCAAACCAGATATCCTGTCTTGTCCCAGTCAGCACACAGATACTGCCCCGCCCTTGTTTTTGACATGCGCAGAGTCCACACCGCTTATGCCTGGTGTAGTTTATATCCCTGGACACTGTATAGATAAAGTTGTGACGGGCCTCTCCTGGGTGTCGGGGGGGTCCCCACCGGTAGCCGTGGCGTCCGGCTGGGTTGCGCTGGCAGTCGGGGTGGAGTCGCAAAAGGGAGCCGCGATGGGACCTCAGAACAGCAGGGAACGGGGTTAGCAGCACCCCTCAGGTCCCTCTGCCCCGTAAGCCGGAGATCACTCGCCCTAGCTCTCTCTCTCTAGCCGTCGTGCGTAGTGTCTCCTTCTCACGTTCTTCCTCCCCGGGCCTCTCCAAGAGCCCCTCTTTTTATTCCCCACACTCCCCTGCCAGCGCCACCCATCTTCCCCGTCTCCCTCCTCCCCCATCCGGCCCCGCCCTTGTTCATAGGCCAGGACGCTCCTCGGGTGTCTGGGGTGTGGTAAGCGGTGGGCTGGAGGCGGTCTTCTCTGCCTGAGGCCACGCCGCTGGGTGCCTTCTGTTGCCGCCCCGTGGGGCCTGCTTCGCGCCTCTCAAGGGAGTGCGCTGGGTGGGTCTCGCCCTGCCAGCACTGTACGTCTTGCCTGGGCTCTCGGGAGTCGCCCCGCCGTGCCGCGCCCTTTGTGGGGGGTTGTGCCGTCGATCCTCCCCGGCTCGTCCGTCATTCCTGGGGTGAGTTGGGGTGTGGGTATGCCTCTGGGGTTGTGAAGGATCATCCCGGGGCTGGTGGACCGGGACAAAAGTTATATCTTAAACTGCAGTTTCCAAATCAAACTTCATACAGAGGTGCACTTGAGACCTTGGTCCTATGGTGAATGGCATGGAATTTTATTTGGAAATTGTATTTTTAAAATGATTTTCTGTACTATCTAAGTGGTGCATTGTAGCAGTGCATTCTAAGCATTAATGGGTTTCTGGGGTCAAAAGGCACCACGTCCTGGTTTCTGCAAAGCTCAGCTATCAAATGAAGATTTGCTGCTTTCCCAAATGTGCTTGCGCTCTCTCTGCAGGCACAACTGAGGCACTCTCCATTCAAAGCCCAGGAAGATGGCTCACCCAGAAAGTTAGCTTCTTCCTGTCATAATTGGCTGAACTATAGAGATGTCTGTCCTGGCTGAATGCCTATGGGACTCCTCCCTTGTGTGCTGAGAGGTGTCGTCTTGTTTGCAGTGGCAATTCTCATCCCAGGCATGTCTGAAAGGAGGTGATACGGACTGCCGGGCATGATTCCCGGAGACATCCTTCCGCCAGCAGACGCCCAGCAGGGACTTCAGCTCTGAGCGGAAGCTCTCATTCAGCCAGCAGTAGATGAAGGGATTGTAGCAGGTGCTGCTCATGGCAAACCAGTGGAAAGCGAAGTAAAGGGCGTTGTTGCTGTGGATTGCCTTGCTAGACATGAGAACCAGATAGCAATTGAGGGGGAACCAGCAAACGGCAAAGACCATTACGACTACCATAAGCATCTTCAGAGTCATTCTCTTCTTGCGCTGGTGGGCGTAGTACTGCTCCATGGTCACATCGCCGATGGCATTCCTCATCCAGAGCTTCTTGGCAACCATGGCGTAAGTGATGGAGATCACCAACAAAGGGAGAAGGTACAGAAGGACAAAGGTAGTCAGATCTAGGTACTTCCAGAAAAGGTCAGTTGGAGGTGGGAAGCTGGGGAGGCAAGCCATTCGTATTGTTCTGTTTCTGGAAGAGAGGAAGACAAAATTCCAAAGTAAAAAAAGCACGCCAACTTCTAAAGATATGGAGGTAGGCTAGCCATCCTTAACCCTTTTGGGACTCGGCTCTAGGGCGGGGGGTCCCCAGCAGGGTGCCCACTAAGTACTCTCAGAAGATGGGCAGGGCCCGGGGGGGGGGGCTTTTGCCAGCAGAGCTTCTGATTGGCCATTGGAGATTCAAAGGCATCCTGTTAATCAGAGCTTCTGGCTGAAATGTTGAAGAAGAAGAAGAGGAAGAAGAGATTGGATTTATACCCCATGGCCCTTCACTCGGAGTTTCAGAGTGGCTTACAAAGTCCTTTCTCTTCCCCTCCCCACAACAGACACCCTGTGAGGTGGGTGGGGCTGAGAGAGCTCTGAGAGAAACTGCCCTTTCAAGGACAAGCGGTCCCATTCAGGAACCCGACATTCCAGCCGAAATCCATCCCAGCGAAGAGGCTCCACCGGGCGGCTCTCTTCCAGAGTAACTCGAACCAATAGCCCAACAGCCGGCCCCACAACTGGCGCAACCGCCCCTGGAAACAGCCCCTTCCCCTCCCCACAACAGACACCCTGTGAGGTAGGTGGGGCTGAGAGAGCTCTGAGAGAACTGCCCTTTCAAGGACAGAACTAGGGCTTGCCCAAGGCCATCCAGCAGGTGCGAGTGGAGGAGTGGGGAATCAAACCCGGTTCTCCCAGATTAGCGTCTGCGCACTTAACCACTACACCAAACTGGCTCTTGGAGCTACTCTTGGAGTTATAATACATACCTTGCTCCTTGATAGGGATGCCCTGGAATTACAGCTCATCTCCGGACTACAGAGATCAGCTCCCCTGGAGGAACTGGATGCGTTGAAGGGTGGACTTTATGGCCTTGTGCCCCACTGAGGTCCCTGTCCTTCCCAGGCTCCACCCCCAAATCTCCAGAAGTTTCTCAGCCTGGATCTGGACGTCCTATACCCCCATTCCCCACTGGTGACAGGGGGGACCTGTCACCCCTACTCCTTGACATTGCATGGTTGGCTCCACCTCCTACGGCAGTCATTTTTTGGTTGCACCCACCACCCTGCGTCAGAATTCCTAAGGTGTCCACAGGCTTGAAAAGGTTGGGGACCCCCCTGGGTTGAGAAGATGAAAGTGGGGGGTATAGGACTCCTTTATCTTGGAGGGTTGCATAACAGATGGAATGTGAGTAGATGTGGCTTGCCATGCAGGGATAAGAGAAACTGTACCTGCTGAAATCTCCTTTTTGCCTTATATCTCCACAAGAAAGGCAGATAATAAATGATGTAAAATACTATTAAATTTGCAGAAGGCCTGTGCTGTGCCAGTGGTTGCCACGGCTGCAGCTCACCTTCAGTCATGGAATTTCTAGATTCCAGGCAGCCTACCAGTTCGAGAACCGTGAGACGACCACTTATAGCATGCTTGTTTCAAGTGCAGCTAGAGGTACTGCTAAAACTCATATTTCCAGGACTTAGGCAGCTTGTGATGCTAACCTTCCAAAACCTGTTTTAAAAAACACTGGCCGAATCTGCATTTGCATTTTTATATCATTTTCGTGCTGCTGCTACGCCGTCTTTCCTCTATGCTTGTTTGAAGGTTGTTTGGAGAAGATTCTTTTAAAGCAGTGGGGAGGCGCAATGACAGTGGAGCCACCCTGAAAGGGCGATAAACATATGCGGACGTGCAAAAGTATACTAGTACTGTTGAGGTGTGAAAACGACACCAAATGTAGACAGCTTTTTTGAAGATGGAGTCAAAAGGCTGGGACACTGGTGGGAAAGACAAATGCAGATTCCGCCACTATTTCCCAGGCAGGACGCTATCAACAGGAGCAGTTTTTGGGGTCTGAAAGGGAAATAGCGTAATTGCAGGACTTTGGTGTAGTGCGAGTCAGTTGCTCTTTTCGTTTGTTGATGACCACAAGGGGCCAGTCCCCTGGAGAAGTTATCATAACAGGAGAGAATCACCTGCCTTTTAGGAAGAGGGGAGAGGACTGTGAGAGGGTCTGCTCACACAAGGATTTTTAAAAAGGTTATGGAAGGTAATGTGTTACTCATCCTGATGGTGGTTCTTTTTTTAAAAAAAAACAACAACAGAAGAGAATCACCCACGGCTCATCCTGCCTTTCAGGGAGGAAAAGAGGACAGTTGGAGGGGTCTGCAAATATGGGGACTTAAAAAAATGTTTTTAAAGTACTGTGTTGTTTCTATTGGTCCTCAAAATTTGATTTTTATAATGCAAATTAAAACAGGATGTGTGGAGAGTCACATTACAACACAGTGTGTGTGTGTGTGGGGGAGTCAATGCACATCAGGAGTGAAAGGGAAGCCACACAGAAAAGAGAATACCCAAGGCTGTCTAGAATCTCTGTTGCAAAAACACATCAGCAGCCAGACTGCAACGGAAAAGCATCCTGGTATGGAAGCAGCCTTGGTTATGTGCAAAACACAGGTGAGGGTGATACATTTTCCCCTGGACCCCTTCAGCCTGCAGACAATAGTGGTGGGGAATATTTATTGAATAGTCTTGGGGGGGGGGGGGGGTTGCTGCATGCAAAACACTAGGTGTATCATGAAAAAAGGATAGGTGAGAAATCTTATTCCAGACGTTTAGTTTATTATGTGCAGTGATTTTTTTTAATGGCGGACAGCCATTTATGCAGCTGTAGTCTTCACTGGTGTAGCCCAGAGCAAAGTTTGAGTCCAGTGGCACCTTTAAGGCCAACAAAGTTTTATTCTGGCTATAAGCTCTCATGTGCCTGCAGAGCACCTAGCCTGGCCTGTTTTCATAACACACCTGGTGTTTCGTGTGCAGATCCCCCCCCCCATTCAATAAATATTCCCCACCCCTATCACCTGCAGGCTGAGGTGGTCCAGAATACAACTTTGTTGGTCTTCAAGGTGCCCGAATGGACTCAAACCTTGTTCTGCTGCTTCAGAACAACATGGCCGCCCACCTGGATCTATCTTCATGGTGTAGCCCAGAAACCCTTTGACCATCTCATCAGCTGTTCGTGTACATACGTAAATGTAAATAGCATAATCGTTGTGGCTGATAGCAGGAACCAAGCTTTGCTGTTCTTGGTTGTATGGAGGGAAGTAGTTCTGGAGAGCAAAGCCCAGGGACTAGCAATTCAGAGCATCAGCCAATTGAAATAACACTGTTAAGAGTTGAAAGCTCAAATGCAGTTATTCTGGACGTGCTCTCCTCCTGTTGCATCATTTATAACATTTACAGAAAAAACGAATGCAAGTGGTGTCGCCTTTAGCAATGTGGCTGATCATTCCTCTTACCCATTAGGAAACCATATCAGCTTCTGGTAGATTGCGTGTGGCAGAGAGAAACAGCTGGCCATCACCCAGATGATGATGATGCAAATTCCTCCTTTCACGATGGACATGCGGGGCTTCAAGGGATGCATGATAACCTAAGAAAGTCACAGAGTTGATAGAGCTTTCACTCTGGGTTTGCAAATATTCCTTCAAAAGGGAGTCATCTTAGAACCTAATCCCAGAAACATACGTTTGAAATGATGTCTTATTGAGATCAATAACCAACGAGGACTGGTTTCATCTTGGTTCTGGCTGAATATGCCACTCAGAATCCAGAAGTATTCCGACTAAGAACTGTTGGGGGGACGCAGGGACAACCTTTGCCCCTACCTTTGTTGACATGCTCTGTCAGGGCAACATGGTACCCATGGGCAGCATGGTGCCAACAGACACCTTTTCTGGTGCCAGGAGGAAAGAGTGAATTTAACCGGAATATCCACTTAGCTTCTTCCTGCAAAAGTATCTGATGTACGTCCCTGCTCTAAAATGCGCACTTTAATTGCATAAGACACAATATCTCAGAAGTGGCTCTAACTGAGCATTTTGTCTCCAACAATCATAGGGGTGATGATTTCACTACACAGTTTTGTTTGTAGCAAACAAAAGCAGGGACGTAAAGCACCAATTAGAAACTAGAAAATTATTCTCTCTCTCTCTCATTGCTTGGGATGACTCATGAGTGGTGTCACATATCTTTTGCTCCCTCTAGTGGTCGCTTCAGTCTTTCGTTGCTGTTTCTCCAGTGTTTGTACAAGGACTTTTAAAGTGCTCCCAACCCCCCACCCCCGAGAAACAGCTAGGAAAGACTGAAGTGACCACCAGAGGGAGCAAAACAGGTGCAGAGGAGAATGAAAAGACACTCTACACAGTCACATAAGTGACAAAATAACTTGAGCAGGAAAAGCCCTCAGAACGGGACTTTTTCTGCAGCCTTTCGACTGGACTACCTGTAAAGGCAGTCTGATGGTAGCCTCTGAGCACTCAAGAGTACAAAATTCAATGTTGACTTCGCAGAGCAGTACATTTTTACAGATAGCTATGGTGAAAGGTCCTTTTACCACAGTTCAAGTTCAAGTTTATTTATACGGCCAAGCGACCAGCCAATATAAAACATTACCTAGAGGAATAATAATGTAAGATAATGCCTTCATGTTCCTGTTTTGGGATGTTGGGACAGAATCGTATCATCTGGCATGCTGATCTTGTGGCAAAGCCTCCCCCAGAAACATTTGCCAGCAACTGACATTATAAGCCTTCCTGCTTCACCTGGCCTTTGTGGGGAGGTTCCAGATTATGACTGCTGGCATTTAACTTTATGTTGCAATCAGATCCTGGCTTTGTGCATCTCGCAGTATGGTGATAGTTTTAATATGTGTCTTTCATTAGATCTGTAATTATGTTCCAATGTGCTGAAAGCAACTTCCAATTGCATTGAGAAAAACAGGAGCCAGTATTTGAAAGAAATGCATCACTTGAGAACCTGAATCCCATTAGAAGAAATTTTGCCAATAGATGTAAACTGCTCAACATGCATAGATGTTTCTAATTGCAGAAGAGGAATCTTTCAGTACATCGTCTGAGCTACTTTTGTGCATAGCTCTGATTTTGTGGCAGAGTGCCTCTGATTCATACCTGATGGCGGTCCAGAGCGATCGCTGCAAGGGTCAGCACTGACACATGAACAGAGCAGTACTGGACAAACCGGCTGATGTGGCACATCAGTTTCCCAAAAACCCAGGTACTGCTGACAAATCGCACCTAGGAGAGAAGATCAGGTGGCACATGAGATGGTGCCCGCCAGGAATTAAAACAAGGAGCTTTATACCCACGTGCACGTATGCCCACACACTTAAAAACCAGATGGGAGCATTAAATCATGCTAACCCTTCAGTTCATTCTGAACTGCACAAATTGCTGGGTCCCAGAGCTGAGCTCGATTTGGGCAATTTCCCCCCATTTTAATTTCATTTTGCTTTCATTTCTAAAACTTTTGTGTTTGTGTCATTCATTCTTGCATTTATTCGTTTTAGCTTCTCCATTTGGTATCAATGGAAAACACAACTAAGCTACACTTTCTTTGTTTTCCATGTCGAGGAAGGAATTTTTCCTGAATCCCAGCATCCAGGGTGGGGAAGCATACTATCTGCCTTGAACCCCTCCCCTACTCTGCAGTGCCACCTGGCATCCAGAGTGAGTGAAGCAAGCCGGTTGTTTGGCTGTCCCCCCCACCCCCCCCCACCCACTGCAGCATTGTTTAAGGCAAGTGTAACTGTTGTGTAGTCAGAGCTTCAAATGAATAAGCACTGTTAGAGAGGCTCCTTGCAGCTACATTCAGATTGGCCGCCCTCGCAGAGCAGGCCAATCAGGTAACAGAAGTGTCAGTGACGCCATGCAAATGAAGGCTCCAAGCTTCTACGTTCTTATTGGTTTATTGTATTTTGTGGGTGGGTTTAGGACTGGGGGTTTTATATATAGTTGCGGCTTGCCGTGTGTGTTGTTGTTGTTCTTAACGTTACTGAAATAAAGAGCTATGCTGAAACCACAATAGTCTCGTGAGCCCACTACTAAACAGTAGCATTAGTCTCCATGTCTACCCAGCTTCGTAAGCCCTGCCTGGTATCCAGGATTTTGGGCAAGAAAGACATTGGCCTTTGCCCTCTTGCAGCATGTAGTTCTTCCTGGCATGTGAGAAGGAGGAAGCAAAATGGCACCTGCCTAACCAGAAGGAGAAGGAAAACGAGAGAAGGGGGTGGGGAAAACCATCAGCCCTTGCTCGAAAGCCAGTCGAATCCGACTCTTGCTCGAAAGCCAGTCAAATCCGACTCTAGGGTTACGGTGCTCATCTCCGTTTCCAAGCCGAAGAGCCAGCGCTGTCCGAAGACGTTTCCGTGGTCATGTGGCCGGCATGACTAAACACCAAGGCACACGGAACGCTGTTACCTTCCCACCGAAGCGGTCCCTATTTATCTACTTGCAATTTCTTGCTTTCTAACTGCTAGGTTGGCAGGAGCTGGAACTAGACGGGAGCTCACTCCGTCATGCGACACACTCGGGTCTCGAACTGCTGAACTACCGACCTTCCACAGCCCGCAGTTCAGCGTCTTAACCACTTGAGCCACTGCTTGCTTATTTATTTATTTATTTATTTATTTATTTATTTATGCCTTTAGAAGGGCATAAATGTGGGGTGCAAATTTTGTAAATAAATAGCTTTCAAAATATAAATCTTCCTCCCCCCTTAAAGTTATATGTTCACACTCAGTTCTCATACCACCACATACTTTGTCACTTAGCATCTTCGTCCCCAAACGGTAACATTTCCAGAACTGTGAAATGTCACTGTGCCCTAGCCCAGCCTGCCAGAACTGCCCCAGTAAGCAAAGTTGGCAGATACGTTCCAACATTAAGTACAAGACTACACCAACCATCTGTATCTATGACAAGAAAACAAGAGCCGTGCCCAAAGCTCTACTGAAATACAACCCCCAAAGCTGCTGCCAGTGCTGGGTCTTAGCTCCTGAATACATGAACTGAAGGGCTCTAAGCATATGCAGAATGCCTTTCCATCATCATTGGGTGGAGAGAGGCATGGCTCAGCGGTAGAGCAGGCACGTTGCATGCCAGAGTTCCCAGGCTGTGTTCCAAGCATCTCCTTTCGAAGAACTCAAGCTAGGACAGATCTCTTTCCCCACCAGTTTCCCAGAGACCTGCTAACCGATGGAAGAAGGGTCTGACTCATCTTCCTACATTCTGTGTCCGTAGTCAGGTAACTCAGCTCTGGCATGCTGTCCAGACAGAGAGTTAGAGGCTGAGCAAATGAAACCTCTTTGGGGGCAAAGGGGAAGGGTGGGAATGAGTGGCAAACTTTTCATCTCCCTGGAAGCTGTGATGGGCTGGATCCAGACTATGCTGGCAACTTACGCCAGGGACTTTTGTCAGCGGAACAGACTGCTCCTCCCTCCCTCCTCCCTCTGGGGACAGGGGACCCTCAGGAGCAGCATGCGAAGCATATCGGGTCTCTGCTGCAAGAAAAAGGAACTGGTGGAAATGGCCCCACTCCTTCCAATAGCAGAAAAGCTAGCCTGGCTGGATCCAGCTCATGGTCACTTCCCTGGATCGACACATTCGGCATCAGCTTTGTGCTGCTAACTACTCAGGTGCCTGGTATGGCAAGGAGCCTCTCCGTGCAGGCCCAGAGCCTTCCTGGAGTGGAGGTTCGCGTGGAGAGAGCTTCAGGGGAGGAACGCCACTTGGAAGCGTTTTCTAGCCCCTTCTGCAAAGCCAGTGCACTGATGGGGGCCCTCAGTGATGCTGTGGAAGAAGGCTCTCTCTCCACGTGGCCAGCAGAAAAGAGCGAGAGTCCAGGAGCACCTCAAAGACAAACAACATTTGTGGCAGGGGAGGAGCTTTTGTGAGTCACTGTACCTGAAGGAGTGAGCCGTAATGTTCCCTCTAAGCTGAGAGAGTGTGAGCTAGCTCACAGTTTTTTAGCCTCCGGCTCACACATTTTTGCCTTAGCTCAGGAAGGAGGGCTCCAGAGCAAACTAATTGATGCAGTAGCCAAACTGCTCGCTCACAACTTTAATGCCAGTAGCTCACAAAGTAGAATTTTTGCTCACAGGACTCCACAGCGTAGAGGGAGCACTGGGCCCGTGACTCACGGAAGCGCCTATCCTTCCACCAGTTTTGTTCGTCCTTAAGGTGCTGCTGGACTCTTGCTCTTTTCTATTGCTGCAGAGAAACATGGCCACCCATCCTGATCTATCTCCCTTCTATTATTGCTTCACTGGCTGTGTCCTGGCACACCAGTAGATTTGGGGTACAGGCTGTTTTCACACCCACTGGATGATGCACTTTCAAAGCACTTTGACCATCATTTGCAAATGGCTTTTCCTTTGTCACGCTGGAAAATCCACTTGCAAATGACTGCTGAAGTGCCTTGAAAGTGCATCACCCAACATGTGTAAAAGCACCCAACAGTGGCTTATTGATCGCTCTTTCCCCATCCTTCCCACTTTATTCTTCTGTCGATCTGCCGATGCTTCAGGATGGAGGGTGTGCCTGGAAGGAGAGGAGGCTTGAAGTCAGGGGTCCCAGTGGGGCTTACCAGCGTGAAGGGGGTGTTGAGGATGGTGATCATGATGTCGGCCAGGGCCAGGTTGACGATGAAGAGGCTGGTGGCCGAGTGCATCCTCTTGTTCTTGGCCACCACGTGGCAGACCACCAGGTTGCCAAAGAGGGAGATGCAGATGATGACGGAGTAGGCCACGATCAGCAGGGCCTTCGCCAGCCGGCTCTGGGACTCCCCCTCGTAGCGGCTGCCACTCTCGAAGTCGCCCATGTCGTCCACGTCCAGGTCGGCGGGGAAAAAGGGCGAGCGGTTGCGGAAGGCAAAGAGGGTGGCCAGGGAGTCAGTCCCGTTGGGGCCCCCTGCCCAGCGGAAAGGCCGGGCGGTGTACTGGGAGGGCACCCAGAGGCGCCTGGCCATGGCTTCCAGCACCCACCCCCGCCCCCCACCCCCGAGAGGGAGGGGCGCGCGGCGCGCCCCCTCCCTCC